AAAAAAAAAAAAAAAAATATTCGACCCCTGCGGGGGCGGGTTAACGGGGGTTGGATGGGGGTCGGGTTGGGCAGGGCAGGGCGGGCGGGTCAAGTGGGGGCTGGGCGGGGGTGTGGATGGCAGACCCCAGGCAGCTCAAGGCCTCAGGCAGGCGTCAAATTCATTTGTGAGGGTGTCGAAAGTTCGTGAATTTTTTTGAAACAGCACATTCATAGGAATCATAGGTCAGACCCTATTTCGCATACCGAAGTCACAAAACATTCACAATGAATCACAATGCGGGCAACCATAAGTTCTAAACAATATCAACAGGCAATTGTGTCACAGTGTGTGTTCATTCATGAGGCTGGTGAAAGTTCGTGAAAGTTGACATTCATTAGCATATCATCCCTGTTTGGCATACGAAATTCACAACACATTCATAATAGGGGCAACCATGACATGCATGTGTGTGGCATCCGACAAAGACCCGCTGTGTCGGGGACATTTACGACAACAAACCAGAAACCGCTCACCAAGCAACAGCGACTCATATGCAAAACCGAGGGTGGAAGAGGAACATGGAGAAGAACAAATCAGTGACAAAGTATTTCAATGGAAATGCGTATGTACAAGGCCAAAGCCAAAAACCGCACCCCTCGACGCCATCGTCTCTACCGTAACACCGAGCAGCTAAAAAAAAAAAAAAAAAAAAACCTAACGCCCACATAACGTCGTCATCTCCATGGAACAACATCAACATAAATATGGAACTACCCTGCCAAAAAAATGTCCAGCCAAAAACAAAAAAAGTAATGAAATAAAAAAAACACCACTGACGTCGTCATCTATTCCCAGAAGAGCGGCCCGTGCCCCTCCCCGCAGGAGGACGCGCGAGGCCTCTCCCGGAGGACGATCAGCCATGCTGTCCTCCCGAGCGCCCTCCTCTCCCTTCGGCACCTGTGCCCTCCGCACCGCTGATGTATGCCGCCTGTGCTGCAGCGGCTGCCGCGGCCACGGCCGCTCTGCATCTGCGGACCACACTCTCGAGCGGCTCGAACTCTGTGTCTGCGTCCTCGTCCTCTGCCGCTTGTGCAGCAACCGTATCTCGCTGCCTCTGAATCGCGTCCAACGCTGCTTGGCCGGCGGCGACCTCTGCTGCAAGTTGAACCTCCACCTCTGTGATGTCGCGGTGTCGTCTCGTCCCGAGACGCATCAACAACCCCTCCTCACCTTATGTGTGCAGTTGTCCCTGCTGCATGTCCGTCGATGTCCCTGCGGCCTGGAGGGCCAATGTCCTCTCGTCGCCGCTCGTGACAAACCGAGCATGCAGCCTGCCATGTGAAGGCTCGGACGTCCGGACCCACCCTCCGCAGCCTGCGTCTGAGCTGGCAAACGTCCCGCGAAGACGCCCCTCCCGGTGTCATAATCCGCCCTCAAGCGGTCCCCGACGTGTCAATGAGCTGACCATCCGCCGCCGACACCGCCTCGGACCGGCGGCGGGGAAGCGCCACTGTGCGCAACTCCGGGTGCTGGCGTCTCGTCGTCGGCATCGATGCCCGCCTCTGCGGCCCGTGCGGGTGGTGGAGGCGTCGATCCTGCACATCCGCCGCCGTCACTGCGTCGGCCCGACCCGACCTCAACCGCCCCGGACTCCCTCCCTCTCACGCCGCTGAGCGACGAACCCGACCATCGAGGGCTCTGCACTACGTGCGGCGGCGGTGAATATGCCCCCTCAGCGGGCCGTCTCTCGCCACTCCTGCGGCCCGTATGTGGGAAAGGGTCCTCTGTCAGCGCCTGCGCCAAAGCGTCGGCGTCGAAGAAAGCGTGCGCTCTGTCGTCAGGACGCAGGGGGGGGACTGTGGGGTCCCTCAAGACCAAGGCGAGCCTATACGCATCGTCCTCGCGACCGTGGTCGTCTCGTTATCTCCGTCGGGTCCATCGTCTCCCCCACCACCCGCGGCGGCACCCTGTCCCTCGTCAGCTTTGGTATCCCCATCTCCACCGGGTCCACCCTCTCCCCCGCCACACACGGCTGCACCCTGTCGTCACCCGCGGTCTCGCCGTCGCCACCGCCTCCACCAGGGGGAGATCGTCCGCCCGCGGCGACATCCCGTCCCTCGTCACCCAATGTGTCGCTCTCGCCATCGCCACCCACGTCCATATCGTCACCGGGTCCACCCTCTCGCAAGTCTGCCCGAACTGGCTCCCTAGGGACACCCCCGTCGTCGGCACCCTCCTGTCTCCAAGTCCCTCTGTCGGCGCTGCTCCTCTAGGTACGCGAACCAACCCTCCCATCCTGGCAAAGTCCGCAGCCGCTCCTCCTCTCGGTCCAGGCGGGCATCCCGCTCCTCGGTCTCAACACGGCCCCGCAAATCGAAGTCGTCGGTATGCACCTCCGACGATGAGGCATGCCGACGTCCCGGGGCGCTGAAATCCCCCAAGCCCCCACCTGTGTGTCCGACGTCAAAGTCGTCTGTACGGAGCTCCGACGGTGAGCGGGGGCGAATACCGGAGCCCGAAGGAGTCCTCTCCCCCTCACGCTCCTCGCTGTCATGCGTCCGCTCTCTCCCTGCTGTCGACGCCAACCTCTCCGAACGCCTAAGTGCCTCGGGCGGTGCAGTGGTCCGATGATGGGAGGGAGAGTAGCGACGATCCTGACGGGGCACCTCCTCCTCCTCGGCCTCCCTCTCGTGCTCGATGTCGCTCCTAACCTCCCACCGCCTGCCCGTCGTCTGAAGGCCTCCCTGTGGCTCCTGCTCCAACATGTCGGCCGCACTCGGACGTCGTCCACGACGACCATCCCCTCTGCCGGTGCCACTGGCCTGTCCGGTTGACGGCACATCATCAGTGATGACCAATGTGTGTGAACCCATGCCGTCAGGTCCTCCACCGTAAGTGAAGTACACCCGCTCTGCCGTCCGGACCATCGTCAACCGCCTCTGGCCACGGTCGCAGCTCCGTCGCCCTCTGGCCGAACACGTCCTGAACCGCACGGGCTCTGGACGGTCGGCTGTCATGGAAAGCGACGACCTGCCGCTGGATCTCCTGCTCGCGAACACTGCCAACAGGTCGCGCTCCCCACACCTCGGGCTCCACGTCTGCCTCGTCATCCTCCTCCTCTCCCGCCGTCTCCTCCCGACCGGTCCCCAGAACCCATGGCAACACGAAGCCACCACCCTGCTGTGCGCGCGCGGCCAGTTTGAGATTGGTGGCAATCTCAACCAGCTCTGCAAGCTTGGCAAACCCAAGCTTGCAGCGCCTCGCCGTGTTGATGCGCTTGTGCTGCGCCCAATTCCTCTCTGCTGGAGAGGCGGACGTCCACAAGTGCATGACACGGATGGCGATGGTACGCAACTCCGGGTGGTGACGTCCATGGGCAAACCACCACGCCGCACATCGCTCGGTCTCGCTGTCTCCCCTACAATCATCCGCCTCAGCATCGGACAGCTGCCGATCTCCCCAGTCTCCTCGCCTCGAATGGAAATGCCTCATCTGGTCGCGAACGGTCCTATACAGTCTGCTGACCGGATCTCCGCCGGTCTGTGCGAGGAGAAATTTGTCGCACTCCTCGACCACACGGGCGTCGTCACTGGTCGTCTGCAACGACTCGTAATACCGAAGGGACCGTCGACGAGGGTTGAGGAGGTGTGCCGTGGCATGTGCGGGCTCGAGCATGTGGAGGTTGCGGATAGCAACCTCGCGCACGCACGGCTCGATCATGTCCATTGGCACGTCGACACTCCTCATCAGCTGCAGAACATTCTGACTCCACTCGTAAACGATGGACATCATCATCCCCCTCCTATCCATCCTCCGCAGCAGCTGGTGGACGGGCGCCATGACACGGATGGCGTAGTCGACACATCGCCAAAACTCCCCGTCGCAGATCAGCTGCTGCACCCACTGCGCCTGGGCGACAAGCCTACGCTCCCACGGGATGCATGCCCAAGCATCCCCGTGCAGCATGCTCTCCAGCGCGTCTCGTCGGCCGTCGAGACACGTCAGCATCAGAAAAACCGATGCGAACAGTGTCACGACGGGCTCGACGAGCTGAACGCGAGGGCTCACCTTCCTAAACAGGGCGTGAGCAGCACCGTGCGATTTAATAAATCGCACTAACACTCGTGCACGGATGATGGTGTCCTTGACCCACCCCACTCGCGTCCCGATATCTGACAACATCAAGTTGCAGACATGGGTGGAGCAGGGAAGCCAAGTGATCCTCCTGATGGAAGGGTCCTCGTCTGTGGCGAATCTGCGCGTTGCCGCCGTATAGTTACTGGTGGAGTCTGTGCAGAAGCCGATCATGTCCTTTGCAGGAAAGGACAAGATGATGGCCCGCCACCTGCGGTACACGATATCCGCAGTGTCACGGACAGACCCGTCACGTGCGACGGTGGCGTACAGCAGGGCGTTGTTGGCGCCCCCGGCGAGGAAGTTCACTAGCAGCTTGCCGCTGTGCGACTTCCTCCAGTCCGAGAGGATGGTGGCACCGGTGTGCCGGAAAGCAGAACGCACCTCGCTCACCATCGACGCCACCTTCCCCCTCTGCGAAGGGATCCCGATGCCCACTGTGACCCTGTACAAGGGAAACCGGAGCTGACCTGTCCGCGGCACTCTCTTTGCCGCCCGCCGAACCCTCTGGAACTCCAGACCTCGGAAGGCGTTGAATGCCAACCCCTTCACGTAGATCCACTGCAGCCGTACATCTCGTCGATCGTCGTCTGTCGAACCCTCTTCTCCCTGGCCGTCTCTCGCACCTCGACGTCGCCCTCCCCCACCTTCCTCTTCTCCCTCCTCGCGCGGTCCCACTCAGGTTGTGGTGCCCTAGGAGCGGGACCCGCTCGACCAACGCCTCTCGACTGCCTCGTCAGCCGTTCCCCCCTCCCAAACCCCACCCTCGAGACCCTCCTCATCGAGGGCGTCCTGAATCTCGTCCCTCTCTCCCTCGTCCATCCGCTATCGCTGCCCACCCGCAGCCGCTCTTGTGTCCCGTACCCCCTCGTCAGCCATCCACCTCTGCACCCGCCGAGCAGTCGCGGGCTTGAATGTGTAGTCCGTGCCGTTCCATATTCCCGCGAGAACTCTCATCCCCGCAGCCTTGCAGTACTTGGCCTGTGTGAAATGGCGCGCGGCCTTCCCCGCATTCCCCTGAAACAAGTGGCCGGAAAGTTGCAACGCAACTTTCGGTCCCCATGCATCTTCGCCTGGTTCCCCACATGTTGTCCCGCGGTGACGAAGTTCCACACCAAGTCCCCCCGCCTCAACTTCGCCATCTCCCTCTCAGACCTGTCTCTTATACACATCTAGATGTGTATAAGAGACAGCCTTCACCCATCCACCATAGTCATCCACCACGCTTATTCTTCCTCCTCCGCCTCTTTCACCGATCCTCCATAGCAGGCCGCTTCAACCTGTGCCT